CTCCAGGGTGGGAGGGTGGTAGTAGATGCTCTGGTGGTGGGGGGTGAAGAAAGAGAGAAGGGAGACAGACAGAACTTAAACACCAAGCCACAGATAAAGCTAAACAAAGAGAAGACCCCAAACTCACATTCCTAGGAAAGATTAACTCACCTTCTTGTTGTCCCCAGTGGTTAAGAATTTTCAGTTTTAGTCTTCTTTTAGATACAGATGACAGAAGCCAAACTCAGAATAGCTTGGATAGGACAGAGACTATGCGTGAGGGATGGTGGAAAATGACTCCCTGGACTCAACGCTTTTAATGTGAAGCTAATCATAGAGAGTCAATGAATTTGGAGTTGCCTTGTCACCTTTCTTATGTATCCACTTATACTGTGCCCCTCCTTATCTCAGCTCTCATATGGTTTAGGATCGCTCTACTCACCCACAAAGAGGGCTGTGCCATGTGGGGCAGAGGAAAATTGGCTTTATTCAGTGTGGAGTTAATATCCTCCCTTAGCTACTTTAATGATTCTCCTTTGACAGTCATACATAAAATGCTAAAGGAGTAGTCAGTGGGCTAGTACTGTGCAGTCTGGGACCATTTATCACACCCAGTAGGGATACTGGGAACATATCCTGAGTTTTTAACATACAGCCCATACTCTTCTTCATTCAAACTTCCTGGCTGTAGATGAACAATGACCAGTCAACCCCTCACTTTCATTCCCGTGCTTTTCTACCTACCTCCATGTCTTGATGCAGTGATGGACTGGATCCTTCCACACTGTATTGATGACAGGGTAGACTGTATCCTTCACACTGTATTGATGCAGTGATCGACTATATCCTTCTATACTGTATTGATGCAGTGATGGACTGTATCCTTCCACACTGTACTGATGCAGTGATGGACTGGATCCTTCCATACTGTATTGATGCAGTGATGGACTGTATCCTTCCACACTGTATTGATGCAGTGATTGATTATATCCTTCCGCACTGTAAGACAAAGTAAGCCTTTCATCCTTAAGTTACTTATTGCCAGGTATTTTCTTATTTTTCAACAAGCAAAGTGACTAAGACACACTCTATCCCATGGTGATGGGTTGAAATCTCTGAGCAATACAAATCTTCCCTCTTTTTTTTACTTCTTTTAATTTTATTTTTAAAAAAATCTTATTTTCCAGTTCCCTCTCCCTCCCATACTTCCATTTCCTCTATCTTATTCCCACCCAACTCCCCATCCACTCCTCAGAGAAGGAAAGGCCTCCAATATGGAGTCAACAAAGTCTGTCATATCACTTGAGGCAGGACCAAGATCCTCCACCTGTTTCTAGGCTGAGCGAGGTAACCCTCCATAGGAAATGGGATCCAAAGAGCCAGGTCATGCACTAGGGATAAATACTGGATCCATTGCTAGTGGCCCCACAAAATACCCAAGCCACACAACTATCACCCACATTCAGAGGGCATAGTTTGATCTTTTGCCAGTTCCTCAGATGTCAATCCCAATAGCTCGGGACAGCTGTTTCTGTGTGTTTCCCCATCATGGTATAGGCTCTTTTACTATTAATATCAATCCTCACTCTCTATGACCGGATTGATGACTACCTTAATTGTAATTGTAGAACCTTCATCCAGTATCTGATGAAAGCAGATGCAGAGATCCACAGCTAAGCACTGGGCAGAACTTCTGGAGTTCAGCCATAGAAAGGGAAGAGTATTATTACAAGCAAAGGGGTCAAGATATTCCCTTTTTTCAAGTTGCTTATATCAGACATCCTGTCTGTCACAGTAGCAAAAAAGTTAGCTAAGTCAGGGTACTAAGACAAGAAGCCCCTTCAGGAACATACAGATGAGCGTAAGTCTTCCCCCCAACAAAGACAGGGAAAGTGTGTTTCAGAATAAATGGGGGAAAGTAGAAGTAGTAAGAGATGCTTGCTGCAGCTTACAGATGGATCTTCCCCACTGAAAACAATGACGTATTGGAAGTGGCAGGAGGTAGAAGAGATAATAAAGGAGACAGTCAGGAAATGGAAAGTCAGAAAGCGGAGCTGAGGTCCCCGGAGAGTCTGGCAGCTGATGCTGGGTGGATGTGGGAGGCGGTGAGCGCCATCGAAAAAGCAGTGAAACAAAACAGAAGAGAAGTGGAGAGTGGGTGGGGAGCTGCGTGTCTGTGTGCTCTGAAGACATCAGCCAGGGACAGCTTTGTCAGCCTGGAAGGCAATAACTGTCAATCAGCCAATTAGAGCTCAAGCCTCCTCAAGCAGTTAAGAGTCCAGTGGTGAGCCTTAGCTTGTCAGCTAGTGTATGTTTTGGCACTTGGACAGCACATTTTAGTAAAACTTGCCTGGCAAGTTTTTTTCTTGTCTCTTCCTCTCCATTTTTTGTTAACTTATTGTACAACTGTAAATTCAGACTGTTTTCTATATGGCTTTCTGGTTGTGGGATAATATTACAGAAGAAATCATTAATTTCCAGGCCCATTATACCATACCCATCCACAATTTTTAAATGACAGTCAAGACACAGCTTTTAACATTGTGCCAAGGAGTCTGTTCATAGTCTTAAAGAAAAGAGTCTTGAGTTCTTTTCTGATGTTTTAGAGGTGGGGTCTAAAGTCGGTCTGTTTGTGAATAATTGAATAAGTTGAGAATACTTGCTCACATGCTGAGAATAAGTTAGTGACACAGAGACAATGCAGTCTGAGAGGTGGCACTTGTGGTTCAGAGTGACTGACTCTTTTAAAGCGTCCCACTTGGACCAGGGGAAGGAGATGCTGAGCTCAAACACACCTATTGACATCAATAGCTGCTGCTTAAATTGTGATTCCAGGATCAGCCGCACAATTGTGGGAAGCTTGAGATCAACTTCCCCATAGGGAAGTTCTGGGCATCGAGCTCAGGAGCTTACACTAACAAGCTCTTCGAGTGGCAAGCATTCACTAAAGGTTGAGAAGCAGGGGTATGTGTAGCAGTAGACTATTCAAGTGGAAAGGCCCAGAAGGTGGCTGGCTACACAAACAAAGCCAGAGTCTGAGTGAGAAAACAGAATCCCAGGCCAAGGAAGTAAGTTATTGCTAGCATGACACCTGAGGAAATGAAGATAGTAAGAGCCTTATGCAAAAAAAAAAAAAAAAAAAAAAAAAAAAAAAAAAAAAAAAAAAAAAAAAAAAAAAAAAAAAAAAAAAAAAAAAGATACGGAGGGAGGGACCTTAATGTCCTCAGTCCTCCAAAGAATATCTAGGAAAGCCAGGTTTCTCCATTAGGCACAGAGATCAGTTTAAGAGAGATCAATGCCAAATGGCCTGTTGACACTTAGGGCGACCTTCTAAACAAGCAGGTCTCACACCCTGCTGGACATAATTGAGTTCTCTGTGGCGCTAAACAAAGGAGTGACAGACTGTATTGCTGTGTCTATAATTATTGGACTTAGATTAACAGAGTATATAATTATAATAAACTTAAGCCCTGCTTGCAGAGCAAGGAATTAAAGAAGGACACTTAAAAGAAATCGCACACTAGCTCATAATAATAGGTTATTTATTTAGGGGTAGACTCACAAATCAGAATCCTCTGCTAGAATGGGAGAGCAACCCAATCCCGCAGCCAGAAAAGAGGGCCTGGGTGCGGGCTTTTCATTGGCATAATTAGTATAAGAAGCCACGCCCAAGTGGGCGAGTAACTTAAAGGCTACCTGCTGTAGGATTTCCTACAGCAAGGAGCATTCTTTGCAGATTATGTTCAAAGGTTGGCAAATGCTTCATTTACCTTGGGAGAGTTTTGAGAGGTGAAGGCTGGTGCTAAAACGTTACTTTGACAGGCTGAATCCCTGTACATAAGTCCCCAAAGCCCATTGTCTGGGGGCCTGGTCTGGAAATCTGTATTTCTGAAAATTCCTTGGGCAGTTCTTCAGTTCAGTCAGACTGAGACTGGAGCATAAGCCAATTAGATATCTGCCCTAAGAAAAACAAAGTCAGAAAGAAAAATGCTTCCCACTCTCTCAAACCAGATCTCAGCCTCTGCTCCTCCGGTTCTTTGATCTCTGCTGTGGCCTCTCCCCTCCAGTTGCCTCATCTTTTCTCATTTTTCAGGTTACAATTCCAGGCTTTTGCAAATATAACTCCTGTCTTTCCTATGGCCCCTCCTCCCCAGTCTCTTTCCAAATGCAGGCACCTTTCAGGGCAAACTTATTAGAGTAACCACGAAGTACCCTCCTTATTTTCAGATGACCTTTATGTTGCAAGCTGAGTACACCTGGAAACATGCCTGTCCAGTATGTGGATCATTGCAAGATGAATTCCATGAATAGTCATGAGCTAATTGTGCCCCGAATTGTGCCTACTATCTCTCTCTCTTTAAAATGATGACTTTAAACTGAACAATCGCAAACTATACTACGTGAGTGAGTATAGCATCCCTAAAAAGCAAATCCTTGTGTTCCCTTTGTTTGGAGAGAAGCCTGGAACCCATCTTTCCTCACTCCACTCTTCTGTGTTATCTATGTGCTTGTTTGGGCTCTGTGCTCCTCTGGACACAAAGACACTGTGTTCATTGGTAACACTCTCATGCCTCATTTCTCAGGATTGTAGTTCTCTTATTTCTAAGGCTCAAGATTTCAGAGGACTAAAACTTTAATTCTGACCGTCGCCAAAAGTTCTAAATGTGAATTGAGAACTGGCCCTCTCCAGATCTTCCTATACTTTCTCTTTTGTGTCAGAGTTTAGTTACTCTCCACTCCTTGTCTTCTGAACCATTGGTTCCTCCTGGCTGGTCTTCCAACCATCCTGTTCCTTTGCAATCCCTCTCCCTCCATTTGTTCTAAAATGATGGATTCCACCCAGAAACCATCGTTTAGATCTCTGTAGAGTTACAGAGCAATAAGAGTCTGCATAGTGAAAGTTACTCTGTTCAGTACTTGTATATTCAGTGAATGGTGCCTAGTCCTTGCTGTGGAGTAGCATAGAGTCCCACAAGGAAGACAAAAGTGGAGGACTCCCCAGCCTCTCCTTGAGAAGTCTGAAGACTGCTACATTGGCATGAAGCATCTCGGTGCATATTCTCAAAGAGCTCCTGGGATCCTCACCTTTCCTTCCTGTAGCTGACTGCTCTATATGCAGCTGACTCTATCGTGGAGTCTAGATTCCTGCGTGAGAAGACAAGACTCTCAAGTTAGATGTGCCTGGGTTTGAAGCTGGGCCCCACCCCTAACTAACGAATACGATGGGTATTTGTACAATGAGAAAGTGATAGGTAAGACGTAGAGTCCTTACATGGAGTGAAACGCTTCGGGAGATGCTCAGTGGGTGTCCAACTCATGTTCAACACTCCCTGCAGGTGAGCAGTGGTTAGCCAGCTCTATCTGTTTACAGTTTTCATCATAATGCAGTGTGGTAACTCCTGATTTTGAAGCTAGCTCTTGAGTTCAGAGAGTGCTCAAAGGACCGTGAAGTTGACACAGAGACCCAACCATGATGCTATTTGGCGCGCATGCCTACTTGAGCCTCACACAGAATGTTAGAGCAGGTTTAACCATTTCCTAGAACTACTCTGGAAAATGTCATAAAACGAATGGCTGAAAGCAACAGGAATTTAGTCTCTCACAGTTCTGAAGACTGGAAGTCCAGTATACAGGCTCAGCAAGACCTTACTCTCTCGAGCCTTAAGTGGGGAACCTTTCTTCATTTCCTCCAGCTTCCCATGGTAGCTGGCAAATTCTAGGATTTCTTGGATTGTGGAAGAAGAGGTCCAACTTCGGCCTATGTTCCCCTAGTCTTCCACCTGTGTCTCAATACCCAAAATTCCCCTCCTTTTCTCATCTGAAGAGGAAATCATTTAGCATACACACTAATGCAACATTACCTCCATTTTCATTTCCTTATATCTACAAAGACATTATTTCTCATGCAGAGTCTAAGACATCAATATTTTGAGTACACAGAGCAGCTCACTGCAAGGCACAGAGGAAATAATTAGGATATCATGGCTGAGTAAATCAATAACGTGTAGCTCAAGAGAAATGGGATTTTTCTAACTCTAGCTGATCTCCCATATTGGAAACGAGTTTATGTGTGGAAAAACAATCTAATTTGAATTTGCCTCAATATTAGGAGAGTTCAGATTCTTGCATGAACCTGGGGTTTGATGATTGCAACAAAGATACCTAGGATGTGGAAGTTGTAGTTTTGGAAAGGAGATGAAATGAATATAAACAGAAGCAGCAAAGGAGGAGTTTAGAATGGTGGTCTTTCAATGAGAAAGGCACAATCCTTTGTTAGTATTTTTGAGCTGAAATGCAGGTAAATCTGTAGGAAAACACCTAAGAGAGATAAGAGGTTGAATATAAAAGTGCTCTGAGGTGCAAGCTAAGTTGACAGCTGGAGATCTTGAGTTCCCAGACCACAGAGCTCTGGTGTTCTCTCTTGGGCTGAATAGCAAACATACTTCTCAAGACAGAAGCTTGATTTCTTCAGAGTTTAGGGAGCCCAACACAACACATAGAATACAACTTCCAGTACCTTCATGGTTGGATGTGAATGCTGTTAAATATTGCTTACCACTTCACTCTTTCTTATACACAGAATGTCAAATGGTGGAGTTTGCAAACTGGAGTGTCAGGTTCAAAGGGACAGACTGAATGCAATCTCTACTAAACAATCTCACGGGCCATTGCACAGTATATGCAGAGAAACCACGAGCCTCTCCGGTTAACCTTAATTCCTTGCTTTTACTGATTTCTGTCAGTCCAACTACAAAATTCATTATTTCCATTAAAGAGGCAATGTAATGATCAAAGACAGAGATGTCTTAGAAAGGAAGAAGCAAACCTTCCTGACATCCCGACACCCAGGAGCCATGTGGGCTCACTAGTGCCGTATTCATGCACTGTTTCCAAACCTTTGACCAACACAGATGTATATAGCCAATCTACCTCTGCTTTGAAATTTGTGTAATTTTTGAATATGCATTTCTTCCATGATAGTGAGAACTCTTCAGGTACATTCAGTGGTCCATTGATAGCACACAGTTCACACAGCAACCCGACTGCTTCATGTTTGTCTTCTTCGTCTTTATTTCCATTATTGCCAGTCAGGTGGCTATGAACAGCTTTGTTTCTACCCCTTTCTGGCAGCAAGATGAGAAGGGATTCTTCTATTAACACCTCTCTCATTCTGTTTTTGTAGGAATATGAGCTGTTTACCAGCATTCATTCTCTTCACTTGGCTTTCTCTCTCTTCCCCTTTCTTTTCCTCATTTTAATATGCTGCTATTGGTAAAATACTATTGGGCTTTCTGCTATAAACATGAGGGAAAGCAGGAAAATCCTACGTTATCAGATGCACTCTCTTCTGTGCTTTATGTGTCCTGTAAAATCTTGCACTGCTACAGGATGTGAAAGATCACAGCATGAAGTGAGTCCTACCGTAACTTATCCAGGGAAGTCTTCTGTAAAGAGAACTATGGCTTCCTGCACACTACCAACAGCATGGCACAAAAACCACTGAGCTCAGGAGCCACGAACACTGCAGCTCTTGACAGGCGTCATGTGTAGTGGTGAACAAGCAGCGCTCCTGTGTCCGTCATTCCTAACTGTTCTACTTCATGCTATATCCAATTCATTGCACTTTCAATAGCAGACTGGAGCTGTTTGTTCTTTTGGAAATTCAACATAAGTCTCATTATGAACTGTGAACCATTGCAGAAAATAAGTAAATAACCTGTGCCTTTTAATGTCCCTTTCAAGCCTGAAGTTCTATAAAATCAGTAAGACTCAGAAAAAAAAAAATCTTACATCTTACAGTGGTACAACAAAATGCCTGAGCTAGCCAACCTTGAATCCTATATGTTTAAAAATATTCTGTTGGTTTCTCCTCAAAACTTTTCACAGGTCAGTTTCTTCCTGCCCACCTCCTCCTCTCTGTCTCTCACTAGCGGACTGAATGCTGCTGACCACACTCACTTACTAGTTCATGCAGGGAAAGCAGAGGACTGGAGAGTGGAGAGATGCATCTTAAAGAATTCTGTACTGCTAGATTATAAACTAAATGTAGGTTTATAGAATATTTATATATGTTAAACAAGTATATACAAAGTAAAGGTTGGTATTAAATGTAAAACCAAGCCTATCCTCTTCCCCACCCCATGGAGACCACATACCCACTGGGTTGTGTGCTCCACCCAGATCTGCGAGCCCCGGCTACTTCAGTAGCCTGGAAATGAGGTTCTGTGCCTCGCTTTCCTCCCACCACTGCCAATCTCATTGAGCCAAGCTACTTACCTTCAGATTGTTCTGGGATTCCAAACTGACAAGAGAGCAAGGAGGAACTTCCTACCGTGTTGGGTTGGTTTCTTCAGCCCCATTTCCTCACTGACAATGCACATTCCGGTCAAAGGAATATCCTTGTTCCCTGAAATTGAATAAATTCCTAGTCACACTTTTAATTTTTATTGAAAAAATTATTTTTAATAGAATATCCATCATTCATCTACTTTTTCTATTTTTATTTAACCTTTGGACGTTAGCTTAGCTGTATTACCCTGAGATACACTCTTTGACACCTCAGAAAAGCTCACCAGTTCTCCTACATCAACTGGTTTATTGCCATTTATTGGCTATACGAGTCTTTTTCTGTATGTTTGAGACAAGGTATCACTGTGCAGCTCTGAATGTCCTGGAACTCTCTATTTAGACCAGGCTGACCTTGAATGCACAGAGATCTGCCTACCTTCAGAGTGTTGGAGTTAAAGGTATGTGCCACCATGTCTAGCCTCTGAGTCTACTTTTGAACTAAGCTCCAAGAGACTAGAAATCTAGTATATTCGTTTTGATATCTATCGCAGCCTCAGGTATCAGTGGCAGTTAGAATCATGTCTGATATGTAGCAATACATGTATATGGAATAAACAGATGAATACTGAGGAGCATACTCCAAAACCAACACAGCAGACCTTACATGTTCTGTCAAGTGACAAAACCATGCATCGAAGTATCAAAATATTCAGATACAAGATAGAATATCCAGTGTTATATAATGGCATCTTGAGTTTGATTGCATAACAGAGAATGACAGGGCTGGTGATGGAAGGCTACGGCAGTGTCTCTCCTGTGACTAAAGGAAGACTCGTCTAGGAAGGTGTCATTGAACTCTGGCATGTCACAAGTGCATATTCTAAGATTTTTCAAACTCATGTTCCTTGCAGATCCTCATATACTTTAGATCTTTAGGAGGTATGTTTCTAGTCCTTGTAAATTAATTTTGAAAAGTAGGAATTATAATTGAAATTATTGTTAAATTTTTATTTACTTTTGCTAATATTTTATGCTTCTTTCCGTCATGTGATTAGTTATAATGACTTATTGAGTAGTACTGAAGTCTATTTTCATTCCCATACATACCCTTCTGGGCCCATGCCATGGCATTATTCTTCTGAAAAAAAAACTTATACTTATTAGCATTTCACCCCAGTATTTTGAATTTATCTTCACAATTATAATGATTTTCTATTGCTTACCTCTGAATTTTGAGCCATGTAACAATAACATCTTGGAGATCACTTGAAATAAGCACCGAATTACATTTGTCTCACAGGTATGTCAGCTCTAGTTCTGCTAGGTCAGCAGTCATGATGACTACATTGCACTAGTGACCCAAAGTTCTCTGTGCCCAGCCACTCACTTAACACTGAAACAGTACTGAGACAGAGCCGCTAAGACCCAGTGAGGCAAAGTATCCAAGATCACAGACACAGTAAATTGTGGAGTTAAGAGCCGGACTCAGCATTCCGGCCCAAGAGCTCATGCCCTTTGCTACTGTGTGTTATTTTTCTAGAAGGTTGGAAGGAAAAACACCAATATGGAATTATTTGTTCACGACGGACTCTGAGGCAATAATGGTTGCTGATGTGCAAGCACTCAACAATGTAGAATGGCTGAAGAACTATCCTAACCACACACATTTATTAAACAATTATGTGGATTGGAGAATAACTGTATTTAAATGTTTAGAAACTTAAATGAAGGGCTACAGATGTAACCGTGGAAGAACATTTGCATAACGTGTGAGGTTAATTGACTAATATTGAAGTATCTTTTCATTTCTGTACCACAGGGTCCTTGGCATTATTCCTTTGACAGTAATGTATTATATTTATTAACATTTTATCCCAGTATTTTAAATTTACTAGTCCTCAGCCTTGGAAGAATAAAAGATAAACAAATAAACAAACAGAACATTACCAAGGAAATAACATCTTTCTTTCTCTCTTTCAGCAATCTTGACACAGAAGAGCTGTGTGGTGAGTATCTTCAAGACCAACCAAACTGCTGTAACTTTGATTCAGAAAAGGGGCTGTAAGATGATAAACTTATCACATGTTGGGGTTAAAAGCCTGGAAGGAAAGCAAACCATTGGGCAGAGTGGTCTGGGGTTTTCTTGTCTTGGAATTCGTCCCCAGTGTGCAAGTTACTTAAACACTTGGGCCCAGTTCATTTGCTCGAGACAAGAGAACTGGGCTGTGCAGCAGTTTCAGGGAAACAAATTCTGTGTGTGCTGGATGCAGCCTCTGTTTGCCTCCTAGTACCACACAGCCTCTCCAACGCTGTACCCTTGACATATAAAAATAGCTTAGGTCCCTATCTCTGCAGCTATTCTAGAAACTTAAATGCCTTTATGAAGAATGTACAAGTGAGGAGAGAGAAGTATTTTCAAATGCATAGTCTGCCAGCTTCTTCATTTATTTCTGTTGTCTTTGTGACTGGGAACTGAGGTCAGAGATTAAAAATGGGAAAAGTAAAGAATCTGAAAATTATTCTTTGTTACGAAAATGGAACATTATGAAATGACCAGACTTGAAACATATATATATATATCTGCATGCGGGAATGTTTTATATTTTTCATTTTAAGACAAATGTGTCAAATAACGCTTTTGCTCAAGTATGGTTTTACTGTCTAGGCAGCCTAAAACATTTAAGTAGCTAGAAGAAAGGTTTTGAAAACTTCTCATTGAAATCACAGATATTTCCTAGATACTCTAGACATTTTACAATTTTAGCACTCACCACAATCATCCAAATGGACATTTTCTGTCATTAAAGATTGGTAACCGTTCAGAAATCTGACAGATCATCACTGAGAGACTCCACCAGGATAATGGGTCACAGTGAAGTTTCAAGGCAGCAACTGAACCAAACAAATGATAATCACTGGCCAGAGCTTTCAGATATTTCAGTAGCTGTTGGACTTTAGGCTTCCTGCATAACACCTGCACAATTTCCCTCCAGGTTCAAGGACAAGAATCCAGCTGAAGAAACAAGATCTGGTGCAGAAGCCAGGTGTTCTGGTAGCACAGGGAGCTAGGTGTTTAGAGTTATGGGGAAACCCTACACAGTCACGGTAGCTTCAGCTACACATGAGAATTGCTGTGCTGAACAAAGGGGTTCACCCGACCATGACACCAGGACATGTGAGGAACAGCAAAGCCCATGAAGGTCATGTTGTCGTCCATTCTCATGGATACACAACCCCCGTCAGAGAGGGAGGAGAAAGGAAGGAGTGAAACATTGGAGACCCACTTCTCTCAGTCTAGGGATGGCAGGCCAACCAACGATTCTCTCCAATTGTTCACAAAATTCCTTTTATGCTCAACCAACTTGTCTGCATAAGAAGAGCTCATTGAAAAATGAAATTATTAATATCTTTACGACTGAAAGCTTTTAGTGGCTATTGTCTGTCTGCTCTGTTGTCTGTCTGTCCTTAAGGAGTATCTCGCAAATCTGTCTTCTCCTAAAACTACTACATGTTAAAGCATAACTGTGATTCTCCACTCAATCACCCACACGGAATATTGATTGCCTTTCCCTATACTAATGAAACGTGATTAATCATCTACTCTGTATATGCTGGAGGATTTGAACGCTTCCTCCTCCCCCATAGTTTCAGCAAGAAAACTGATTGGACTTTAATTCAACAGAATTTCTTCCTATTTTTGAAATCCAGTGATTATATTCACAATCTTCTTAGAATCCTTTCCTCTGCTGTAGAACATGCACTTTATTTCTAGATTACAGCTTCATTTCACATTACTTTTTGAATTTAAAATAAATATTTAAGTTGAATTTTAATCAGAGCCAGGGTTTCAGTGCCAGCAAGAGAATTATGAGGAGTCACATCTCATACAAGTTCCCTGTGGGCGTTGGAGGGGTGGAGTTTGATTGACATAGAACAGAGGTTTCGTGCACTTTCTCCTAGAAACCAATTGCAGATTATAAGCATCTAGATCTTAGCTTCATTAAACCTTTGCTTAATTCATCAGCTAATTCAATTATGGACCTAAACTCAAAATCTATTAAAATGTTACTTTAAAATATCTTTGCAATCTAACTTATGAGAGTAACATATAAATAATATTTTAATTAATAATGTTTTATCATCTGAGGATATAAACTGAAGCAGGATTGGAGAATGTGGGTAGTACCACCACGACAGACAAGGAAATTTTGATTATGTAAAGTTCTTCATGGTGTATTTTTCCTGTTAAAGTTTTTCTTGGCTGATCACCCACACTTATCAACCCCCTTAGAAAAATCTTTAGCAGAAATTTCTTTTTTAAAAAAATATTTATTTATTTATTTATTATGTATACAATATTCTGTCTGTGTGTATGCCTGCAGGCCAGAAGAGGGCACCAGACCCCATTACAGATGGTTGTGAGCCACCATGTGGTTGCTGGGAATTGAACTCAGGACCTTTGGAAGAGCAGGCAATGCTCTTAACCTCTGAGCCATCTCTCCAGCCCCTTTAGCAGAAATTTCTATCTGACTATGTAGTTCAGACTACAGGGGATAAAGCTCTGTCTTTCATTTCACTTAGGGTTTTTTTCTGTCTTGTTTACATGCTGAGGAAGTCATTTAGATTCATGAGAATACTTCCTGGGATTATTTCCTATCTAGCTGGGGGTTCTTTTGTTCTGACTTGGTCTTCATAAGCCAGACCTGAAAGTTCAATTTGGAAGATTGACTTGCAGAATAAAATACCAAGTCCAACACTACTAATTCTGTGCAGTGGGGAAGAGAGAAACCAGCCCCTTGTTGGCATTGTATTAGTGAAGGCGTTGTAAATAAGCACAGGAAGACACGTGCTTCCTGGAAGCATGGTGCTTGTCATTGTGGCTACTGGGATTAAAGGTGTGTTTCCATAACCCGGTCTGTAAGGCTGAGCAGTGGGACTGTTTTACTCTCTGATCTTCAGGCAATCTTTATTTATTTAAATACAATTGAAATACCATGATACTGGACCATAACCCCAAGATTTTGTTTTAGCAGATGAGGCTTTAATAATAATCTAAAGTTGTAGCAAGTTCCCTAAACTGATGCTTCCCAAACTCAAATGTACCCGTAAATCACCCGGTGTCCTATTTAAAACATATTTGTGAATTGACAGTCCCATGGGCCTGAGATGATGTGTTCTAACCAGTTCCAGCTGCTGGTCCACCGAGAAGCAAAACCAGTGAGGCTCTAGCAGACTCTGACACAGTCAGGTACACTAACCTAAACTTCAGAATGGAAGGCAGAACACTACTGGAGGGATGTTTACGGCTTGCCCAGCTTCATCTCTCACCAATGGTTGTAGGACACTGAACTTCACCACCTCACTTAGCTCAAGCTATTCTTCAGGGGCGGCGTTACAGTTCCCTCCGCTCTCAGAATTGGTCAACAACTGAGTGGTTGCTTCCTCTCTAACTAACAAATGTGTAAATGAGGAAAATGCATAACCAAGACTTAAAATAGCATTTCCTCCTTTCTTATTTCACTGATCCTTCCTAAAGGGATTTCTACAGAGGATGTGTCCCAGTGTGTTAGAGATGGGGGAATCAATGAGTATTTTGCTTTTAGGAAAAATATTTGATTTGTTTATCTATGTATGTATAGGTGGCATTTTGGCAAGAATCAAGAATGTTTATAGTTTATTGTTTTTTATTCTCAAAAAATTATACATTGGGTATGAAATCAGTCAACTGGCCAGTATTTTTGAGCAAAGTCACATGTAATCCAGGCATGACTTGGACTTCCTATGTATCTGGAGATGACCTTGACTCTCTAATCCTACTGTTTGCAACTCCCAAGTGCTGGAATTACAGACATGCACCATGACACATGACTTATGTGGTACTGTGAATAAAACCCAGGGCTTTGTGCATTTTGAACAAGTGTACTAGCCAACTAATTAACATCTCCAGCCTCCACTTTTGTTAATACCAATGTCAGCAAATGTTATATCTGTAGTATTAAATAGATGAACAAAATCAGTTTTTATCAAATATATTATGATATAGCAAAGAATTAAGTCTGCATGTGAGTTTATAACCTGTTACTGTAATTTTTAAATATGATACATTACAGAAATAAAGTAATAAATAGTAGTTCATATCTGTATTACATTTCAACTGATTTGAAATTATTTTCTGTTCCATGTTTTCAGTTTAATCATGGTTTTTGAGGCATTACTTATTCCTAGCAATGGAAAAATATGATAAACATTGCTCCACTGAAATAAATGGCTGAAATTATCAAAAACCCCTCGTGACAGAAGCATATCATGAGTAGAGCCAGAGAAGACCTCTCTGTGGTTGGCAGAACCAAGCGTTTAGGGAAAGCTGTCCTTCAGAAACCTTTCCTAGAAGGAGCAATAGCATTTTTACATTTTTTCTCAAATTGCTATCCTATTGTGATCTATAATAATATACTATTGAGAATAGCGTTTTACTGAATCAACCTTGTCATCACGCCCAGATTCATGTTTCCCTGAGGTTTTTTTTATAAGAGAAATAACACTTTTGTGGATAATTATGACCAGCTAGGCTATTTTTCTTTTTCTGTTTTACCTTTCTAATGAAATTAGTATGCTGCTACCATAATCTCGTCTGAAAGATTTCTGTTTTTCATTTATAGCCAACATTTTGCTTGCTGGATTTATAAAGTAGATTATCAACTGAGACTTTTGTCTTATGATTATCTAGACTCCAACATAAATTGATTTTAATGCTTTTACTTTACAGAATATTTTTCTCAGCACCTGGGGGAATACGAGAATGTACTGGCTGCACTTGAAGACCTGAATCTCTCCATCCTGAAGGCAATGGGCAAAACCAAGAAAGTAAGGACATGTCAATGATTGCTCTCCAAAACAATTATCTTCCTTGAAAAATATTTTTAAATCATATGCATTTCTCAGTGTATATTGAAAATACAGATTGCTTTTATCAGTGATGATTTTTTATATTGACTGTATTATTAGTTCACAGGACAATTGCAAGCATCCACTAGGAACCAGAGACTATTTTGTACTGAGAATACAAAGATACCCTAAGCTATTTCAGCAATTCTTAATATGGTAGGAGTACAAGATATGTAAACAAATGCGTTGTTATGTAACAGAGAGGACCCCAAGGTGGAATACTTAATTCTCACTGAAGGAAGTAACACCTGAACGTATAGCAATTAAGATAATAGTCATTAGACAAAGGAGAGGAAACAGCAGTACAGAAACTCTGTATCAGGAAGGACCCAGGGCACTCAAGGACATAAAAATGAATAGCAAGACTAAGCTTCGGGAACAGGAGGGATTGACACAACATGAGATGAAGCCGAATTAGGGAAGGGCTGCATTTTTCGTGATTGCCACCAAAGCTAAGAACGTAAGCCGACACACGAAATACAAGTAGACAGTATTTCAAGTAGAGATAGGCAATCCTTCAGGAAAAGCATGTGAGAAAACTAGGCTGTGGTTGAGGTAAGCATAGAAGAGAATAGAATCAGTAAAAGATGGATAAGGAGGCTAGTTAACCAGTTCTGGTGAGAGATAATGGTATGAGGAGAACCAATTGGTGGGAACTCCGGAGAAAAGAAAATGAAGTGCACTTGGCTTTGGCAGAGTGACTGTGGAATTTGGAGAAGTGTGAATCCAGGGGATAAAATGAGAGTGTATTCAGGATAAATCGAATCTTTGGCTTGGATACCTGGGTAGTGACTTCACCTAGACAAAATGTTGAAAGAGGACCAGGTGTGAGGATGTAAGAACATAAGCTTTTATTGACTCTAAACTGCTTTAATAGTGTCTAGAAGGACACAATTGAACACTGGAGAAAGAAATCTATTTCTCATAAATGCCATCTAGAGCTGGGTTTGCAATAAAGAACCTGAGTATGTCATCGAGGCAGAAGGGAATAACTAAAGTGAGGTGAGAATCCAGCACTCTTCAGTCAGACATTATAGCTCCTGATGGTGTAAGGAAGAGAAGGACCCAGGATTGGGGACTGGGTAGGAGCACACAGTGCCCACAAGTTTAAAAGAGTATTTGAAGGTGTGGAGAGAGGTTTAATGTTGATTGCTATGTAGAAGTTAAGAGACTAGAATTAAATTTTTCATTCAGTGAATTAAGTGGTACCTTAACATTTAAGATGCTTGACAGGTAAAATGTTTATGAAGCACATATGGAATTCCTGGGTAAAGACAACAAATCCACACCAAATCTATACCAACAAATCTATAGCAAATCCTGATGTCACATAAACAACACTGAAATGAGATCCTTTAAAATGGCCACGTTTACAGCAACACAATTTGGAAACAGCAAAGTAGATGGACATGAGGACAAGGTGCTGGCAGGACAGACACTGCTCTACTTGACCCACTGAGGAAGAGAGCCTTAGGTTTACATAGGTGAAAAGAGACTAAAGGATCTGCTGCAGTAGTTGCCACCACAGCTGGAAGGGTGATTCGTGGCAGGGCTGAGGCAGCCACCTGTAGGAAATTCATATAAGAAGTACTTGGTTGTCAGATCACAGCCTCTGCGCAGCAATGACTTCTTGTCTACAGAGACTGAAATCTGTAGCTATTTCAAGGGTAGGGTACTATCTCTGGTCTGAGGCAGTATTAGCCTTAAGTGAGGGATTAAGTAAACATTTGCATCGTAAGTGAAAGGCATCCAGTTTTCTTCTCACTAAACCCGGGGAGTTTTGGCAATATACTCTCAAGGGCAGATAGGGAGACTCTTCTTTTGAAAATCCCGACAGTACAAAATGACAAAACTAAAGACTCATGAGGAGGTATACTCTTCTCTAATACTGGTCAACATGTCCCTAACCTACTAGATACTAAATGTGCAATCTGTCAAGTAGAATCACTAGGCTTCTTATCGAGAGGGCAGAGATACACATAGGAGAGAAAGAAAAGAAGAACACTTGGAGACAGAAAAGAGTTAACATGGGAATTAAACATAAAAATGAAATTTCAAAAATATTATCTTTAACCTCCTTATAAAAAGAGGAGACGATTCTACACTTATGAAGAAATAACGGACAACCCAAAGCAAGAAAGTGCAAAAATAATACTAGCAGATTTTTTTTAAAAAAAAGTTTAGAAAGTCTCCCCAAATGCAAAGCAAAATAGAAATTTGAAGTATCACCCAATGATGTTTTCACCTATAACAAAGGGTAGAGAAAGCCAACAGCACAAAGAGGACAGAGGTGGAATCTAGAGCATTTTAACTTGCCTTCCTTGAGAGACTGAGAGCTGCAACCAACTGCTATAAAATCACTTGTTTGTTGCTATTGACTAACTCAGTGAGTAGTTACAAGAAACTATGTAATGACAAAATGTTTCTGTAGGAAGTAAAAGTAATGCATTTATTTTATTTATTTTACCTATCACACTTACCCTAAGCCCTGAACAGATCCTTATGGTTTAAATTTTATTGCTGTATTAAATAAATGTTTTGGTTAAATGAGCATTTGTACACTAAAAAAGAAAAAAAAATTAATTCCTTTGAGAAAAAAAATCTTCTAAATTCTAGAAGCTTTCAAGTTTCATTCACTAGGAAGGTAAACCAGATACATAATCTTTTGTATGTTCATACAAATATACACTAGAATCCTGTTTTTCCCCTGTTCCAATACAATGAAACTTTGTGACATTTAAACCATGGCCAATCTTTTACTTTTATTAAGTTGCATTTTTTTCTTGGCATTGACCCTTAGAATGTGTTTGATTTATATAATACAGCTTAATCTATGAAAGCATTTTTTTATAAAATAAAAAGTGAAACAGTGGAAAATAAATTTAGAAGATATATCTTGGTATGGCAGCTTAAAGACAGATGAAATTCAGGGTCCCGACACCTTTTAAGCTGCTGGTGACCTGTAATCCTCTGTGTGCTGCCAGCATGGGAAGCCTACTGACAGGTAGCCAGCATTTCTCTTTGAGAAACTGGGTGTATTTTTATCCAGATGAAAAGTGCTGTCTCGGTCGGAAGGGCTGACATTCCAGGCTATGTGTGATATCTTGACTGGCAGCATATCTGTTTCCCATATCAGAGCGAGATAAAGTGGATTCTACCTGTTTAACTCAGACCCCAGGAAGTAATTCTGGACAGTTACAGTGTAGCGTGGACAGTGCCCCTTATCTCTCCTTCCCCTGTGCTTCCTTATCTGGGACAGAAGAAATAAGGTAAAACCCTACACGGTCATTGACAGGTGTCAAGGTAGGGAAAACTAGAGCCCTCATCCAATCTTGACAAACTTTCTCAATTCATTTTTCTTCTTTTGATAGAGCAAGTGCTAAACTACCTTGTAACATCAATTTGTAGCGTGAGTGTAACTCAAAAATGAAAATGTAGAATTCTGATGCAGCCAAAGCTTATTAGCTGCTGTTAATGCAAATATGTGATATTCCTGCTCGCTGATTATTAAAACTTAAAAGATTATCATAAACTAAAATGAAGAATAGTGTTTTTGAAATGATATTTGGGATGTGGCAGTTATCATATTGAATGTTTCTATGGGAATTCCCAAATTTAAAATATGCTTCTATAATATTTAATCTAGAATTCAACTTTAAGCAAGAGCATCTTATGTACATCTTCAGTGTGTAGGAAAAATGGTCATTTTCTAGAGCTGTTGGACATCTGTCATTCTTAGTTCTATGTGCCTTTGGGGGTCACTGCTGCCTTTTTCTCTGGCAACTCTAGACCCCTTCGTCTCAAACTTTCCGTATGTCAGTGTCTCCATTTTCCTAGTACTTAGCATCTAAGCTTCTGAGGCCTGTGTTTCTTGCACTAGTTTAATAATACAGTGGTTTCTAAGTTTTATTATTAATACAAAATGAATAAATATTCATGATTTTTTTCAGTATGAGGAATATATGTTAATTACTACAATGGTGCTAGGATTTCTCATGAAAGAAAAATACCCCTCTTTCACTCAAAGTGTGAGCAGCGAAGTGATGTGTCAGATACTGAAGCGCCCGTTTAGGCTCACAGAAGACAGGCATTCATCCTTCTTGTTTCATAATTATCTTTTACGTGTTCTCTAAAATAAGATGGAAATCAACTCTTGATAAAATATTTTCCAAAGAGCTTATCTGCTATTCAGTTTGTTCCATGGCACTTTGTAAGTAGGTGTGTGTATTGGGGAGGCCACGGATAGCACAGACCTGGGGAATGTGTGTATTGAGGGGCTACAGATAGCACAGGCCTGGGAAATGTGTGTAGTCCAGGAGCCACAGATAGCACACACATGGGAAATGCGAGTTTGTATAGTGAGGCTATGGACAGCACAGACATGGTGTGTGTGTGTGTGTGTGTCTGTGTGTGTGTGTGTGTGTGTGTGTAATGAGGAGGCCACTATTAACATGGACATGGTAACCCTCATACCAGGGTTTGAGGCCACAGACATAGACCAGCAGGAGAGAAGTTCTGACCCAGGTCCTAGCTTTAGAACCTTCTATGCAGACTTCTGCCCAGTACTTGGCAAAGGGAAACACTAGGCTCCTAGAGAGATCACTAAATTAAAGCAGATCATAGTCCTCTCATTGAAGGCCCTTGCAAAGAACTCCACATAACTGCTAACTCAGAAACTAAGCTGTCCTAGGCAGAAGACCCATCGCCTCTGCCTGGGCAAAGAGGGACAGAACCCACGGGATCAACCAATGAATGTGACTTTTAAGGTGATGTAAAGGTTAGAAAAGCATTGGGTTTACTGATATTATTCATGAGGTGATGTGGGTTTTAATTCACACAAGGATCATCAGCAAGGTGTTGGCTGAAGGGATTGAGATCAGACCTCACTGGAAAGGCTAGGCTGACTCAGGACTTAGATTGCTTCTCCCTTGACAACCATGGCACCAGGGCTTTCTTGCCATTGTCAAAGCCCACCTTACTCCTGGTGGCTGCTGTGACTTCCTACACCAAGTTACCAGATGAAGGCCACGTGCTCTTCTTTGCTGCCAGCACAGTGCTTAAGAACCTGTGAGAAAAGGGCAATGAGGGTGCTGGAGAGATGACTCCAAGGCTAAGAGCACTCACTACTGCAAAGGACCCAGGTTCAGCTCACAGCACCCAAGTGAGGCAGCTCACAAATGCCTGTCACTCCAGTTCCCGGGGTCCCAGCATCTTCTTCTGGTCTCCACAGGCATCTTTACAGAGGCAGTGCACAAACAAGCAGTCATACATGCACCCACTTAAATACGCTTAGAAACAGATAAGGAATAAAGTCTAGAAAAAAACAGAGTTTAGGAATAGTGGTGTATACCAGTTAGCATTTACATAAGTATTAGGAGTGTTTAGTATCCTTTAATGTGCATTAATTGTTTTCTCTTCTTTATAATTAATATTTTGTTAGCATAAAAGTAATGATTTTTATATATGTATTGTATTATACTCTATCTTTCATTCATTCGTCCCTGCCTTCCTCATCATTCCTGCCCTGGTCTTGATGATCTCCATCCTCACCACAAGTAAATGGAGACTGCACGTTTGTTTCCCTACCACCCAGACCTGAATAATCACACAGAAACTATATTAATTACAACATTGTTTGGCCAATGGCTTAGGTGTATTTCTAGCTAGCTCTTACATATTAAATTATCCCATTTCTATTAATCTTTTTATTAATCTATATACCACCATTGTTGAAATAGGAGCGGCGGGGCTGCGTCCCCAACACCCCGGCCGCTTGGCTAGCTCATGCTCAAAATAACAACACACAAACTGTATTCATTTAAAGAACTGCTTGGCCCATGAACTCTAGCCCTTACAGGCCAATTCTCGCACCTGGACTAGCCCATTCCTAATGATGTTTGTAAGCACCCCAAGGTGCGCTTACCGGGAAGATTTCTAGCCTCTGTCCATCATGGTGTCTCTGCTCCAGAGAGCAGAGCTGTTCGGTCCCTCTGGAAGCAGAGCAGAGTCTGACCTCACTTCCTCTTCCGCCCAGAATTCTATTCTTTCCACCACCCATCTATCTTTAAACCTATCAGGGCCAAGGAGTTCCTTTATTGCTTAACCAATGAAATCAACAGATTGATATATGACACTCCCACATCACCACCATGAGGCTGTGACTTAAGGGTAATGTTCTGGTATCTTTCTCCTTTGGTGGCTACATAGTTTCTCCTTTCTCCTTGCATTCAGTTTAGTTTTCCTGCCTACCTATATTCTGCCCTACCATAGGTCAAAGCAGCTTCTTTATCAACCAGTGAGTGGTAATAAAAAAAAATCATACCATACAGAAGCAAATATCACATCATCTCCCATTTTCTGTCTAAATAAAAAGGAAGGCTTTAACTTTAAAATTGCATAATTACATACAACAAAACAGGTATCAAACAAGAATTACTATAGCACAATTAATAAAAACCCAGAAACAGATATTAGGGTTCAACTTGAAGGCCAGAAAAGCAAAACTGCCAGCCACTGGCTCTTATCTCTACATCTGTTTGAAATGGTGATCCTGCCTCCAGGAATCCCAGAATGAGACTGTACTTGAGAGCTGTCTCCTCCAATATAGTATTCCTTTCTAGGGCTGTGTTTAAAGTTGTATACCACTCCCACCCAGTTTCTATGACAAACTAGTGTGACTCCTGGGATTAAAGGTGTGTGTCACCACTGCCTGGTCTGTGACCAGTGGTGCTGTTTTACTCTCTGATCTTCAGGCAAGTTTTATTTATTAAAATACAAATGATATACAACTACAAATCACAGTTACAATATTTAGTCTATTTGTGGCCGGCAAAATTAAAGAAAAGTATCATCTATTTTATCTTTTTGAGTCTTAAATTTTATATCTATCTTTTATTATAACCATGGAAAACTGTAACTATCTGTCTTTTGAAGGCATAAGTCACAAACAATGCCACACCAGTTTGGAATTATGATTAATAGGGTGGTATTTTTTTAAAGAGGAAAAAACTTACAGATCACCTTCCCAGACAACAGCCCTCTGCGCAACCAGGAAGGGAGTCTAGTCACCGGAGGAGCAGGAAGTGAAGAGAGCGAGCGGAGGGAAGTAGCCGCTTTTTTAAAGGGAGAGAGACCACGCCCCCAATGGGCTGGTATTTAGCAGCTATTGGTTGAAGGAGCGGAAGGACCTCCCGCAACAGTCCTTAACTTCATCAAAGACCCCAGAAGGATATAATATTACCTAAGAAAACAGGAAATACATTGTAAGAAACTTCCAAAACCCTAGAATTGATAAAGACATCTTGCTGCCTGGACAGTCACCCTAAGTTCTTCTGTACTGTTGGAGCATCCTTCTTCAGCCTACAGGCCCATAGTAGCTGGCAGACTTTTTCATGAAGCAGGAAATTTGAAAGACTATTTCAACTATATTGGCAGTTTGTCAGTCACTTTCTTCTTTGTCCTGCAGAATGTCTGGCAGACTCTTTGATGAAGCAGGAACCCTGAAGGACTGTCTCATCTTCTTTAAGCAAATTCAGCAGCCATTTTTCTGTGGGTCCTGCATGTCCAATTCATACAGTATACCATCAAGCAGTACAGGCAAAAGCAGTTTCTTACCCAAATGGCTAGCCTTGTAACATTGAAGGCAAATTGCATAACGAGATTCTTTAGTACCCATCAACCTCTCTGAAGTAATTGGTGCTGCCAGCAGCACACATGTCTCACTGTCAAGAAAAATCTAAGTTTTTAAAATTCTTTAAATGCCATATTTTGTAGGTCTTTGAAGTGTTGAAGAGTATCTCTCTAACTGAAATATATCTCTGTATATCTAAAATAGCTAACAGGACTATAAGTTTGACTATTATAAATATCTATCTGTTAATCTGTAATTTTAATTTTACATTAAATTTCTAAATAAACTATATAAACATAATACCTTAAATAAGAATAGAAATATACATAAAACAAAATTGACCTTAAATTTGTATCAATAGACCAAGATGCATACCAATGTAAAATATTCATTTCTATATCATATTTCTCCCCTTATTTAGAAAGAGATTGACTGTGGCCATCAACCACTTAAAATCAACCCCCTTTAAATGAAAATAAACATTTATAAACAGTCATTTTAGGAATTTTGGTGTTGTTTCTCCAAACTGTGTCCTGCTGTTTATTGGGCAAAGATTTTTAGGGTTCACAGAGACTGTTTGCAAGGTCAAGTTCCATTAGATCACATTAGCCTGGAAGGAATCCACAGGTTCTCATCTTCTGTGGAAACAAAAACAGATCTTCTTTTCTAAAGCAACATATCCTTAAAATATGTTGTTTTTTGCTTAGCAGCCCCCAGAATCAAGTGTTTTTTAGCAGATAACTCATTAACAGTGAAAAATTTCAAAGAAAACACAATAGTATATATAATCTAGACGCTACATGTATATTCCATCTTTATGTGACTTTGTTTTTCACTCTATTACTTTTTAATATTTATTCTATTATCTTACTCCTTTAATCTATGACTGTTTTGCTTTGGGTGCCAGAATGTAACATAATTAAAGGAGATTTACAAGTAATATGGACTTAGAGTCCTTTACTTGTATACCAAGAGTAGTATAGACTTCGTCATATGCTATTTCTATCTTTAGGTTTCTTAGAAACCTCCACAAGGATTTCTATGGTGACTGTACAAGTTTACATTGCCACCAGCAATGAATAAATGGTTCCTCTTCCCCCACATCCTTGCCAACATTGGTTGTCGTTCATGTCATTCAATGTCTTGATGTAAGGCCTTCTAAATTGGATAAGACAGGGTCTCAAAGCCATTTTAATTTACATTTTCCTCATGGCTAAGGATAATAAATATCTTTTCAAATATTCCTTGACCATTTGCAAATCTTCTTTTAAAAGATGCCTAGGTAGTTCCTTATTCTTTGATTGGACAATTTACTGACTATTGAGATTCTTTATGTAGTTTACATGGTAATATGTCTGATATACAGTTAGTTAGGAGGATTATTTTCCATTCTTTAGATTGTTTCTTTGCTATGATGAATGTTTCTTTTGTGGCACAGAAGATTCTAATGTCACAGGATCCTATTTGTCAATTCTCACGTTGTTTCCTAAGCTTCTGCAGTCCTTTCCAAAAAGACTGTGGTTATACATATGTCTTGAAGTATTTTTCCAGTTTCAAGGTCTCGGGTCTTATTTTAAAGTCATTGACCTATTTTGAATTGATTTTTGTGCAGGGTGACCTGAGAAGATACAACAAGTGTTTTTAATGCTTTTGTAGAACATTAATCTACCTCTATGGTCAAGAATATGGCATGGTTTAAAACTCTTCCAGGGGATTCTGAGTTTGTTGTATAGAAAATTCTCTAGAACCTTCCAGTACTAAGAAATGTCAAAAACAAAATTAGATATATGTAAAATGAATAAAACATAAAAATAAGAGCATCTGTTAAATGAATGATCACAAATAAAGTCAATACTATGAAAAGCGTGACCAAAAATTTATAAACTGAAAACACATGGGATGGAAAAAATAGAAGAAGAAAGATTACACAATAGTTGGAAAGGCATAAGAAAAATTAGATGTATATACAAGGAGGGGTGAAATATTAAAACAAAAGTTTCTGTGGTTAAATTATAATAGGGTTAAAATGCTACTTTTATGCAGCAGAAGAAAGAACAAGAGTGGAAGCCTGGGTGTCGGGTGGGGCTGGAAACAGAGAAAGAGGTTGTCAGGTCAGAAGAAGGCAGGGCAGCCTGATGGTGGTCGCTTATTTTTTCCTGTGGTTTATGCTGATATTGAGCCCAGATTGGACACCTCTCCACTGCCTGCCTGAGCTCTCTCCACTTCAGTGATTACCTCCTGTGCAAACCAAGGGCCTTGCTGTCTTCACTTAGTTTGAAGCCTGTGATTTCTCTACCTTCCCGCAACTCCAGATTGTACCCCCATTGAGTAGCTGGTATTCTAGCTGGGAAGTGTCTTCCAGGTGCATTGGAAGTAGGGAAAAACAAGCACGACAAACTATACAGGTGAAAATTAGTTTTTACTTTTGTGTCTGATAACTGTTGGTCTTCCTAGTGGAGGATGCAGTGGTGAGTGTCCAGTTCCCCACTGGAGCTGCAAAAGTTTCAGACTACAGTAGTGAGGGAAAGTTGGCCCAGGAGCCTATCACCCCATTGACAGCAAATTCAGGTCTATCAAATCCAGAGTTAGACTCAGTTGTTGAGGTCTGAATTCAAGGAAGAATTCCCCTTGCTGCCTCCGCCTAGCTTCCTACCACAGGTGCTTTCAATGGTCTCCTCGACCTCTGCCTCATCCTGGAACTGCAGCAGGGAAAGGTCAGACTCTGTAAGGCAAGATCCTTCCACATTGCTGGTCCCCTCTAGAGCACAGTTTTCAACAACAGATTCTTTCTCAGCATAGCATGCAGCCACTGCCCTGCAAGCCCACAGAGAGATCCTCTCCACTGTTCATTGTTTTTCTCTCCATCGTCTGCAGCTTTGGATACAGTTCCTACTCCATCTTTTCCACTGGGCAACCATGGGTCTAGAGCCGTGTTTGGATTGGTTGTCTTCCTTCAGTGGGTCGCTGTAGATAGAGGCTGCTTGTTTGTTCCCAACCACCCAGACCTGAAATAATCACACAAATAATTAGCTGTATTAATTACAACACCACTTGGTCTATTAGCTTATGCCTATTTCTAGCTTGCTCTTACATCTTAAATTAACACATTTGTATTAATCTGTGTATCACCACATGGCTGTGACCTACCAGTAAGTTCCCATCCAGCATATCTGTCTCCTGTGACAGATACATGGTGACTCTCTTACTCCACCTTATTTCTCCCAGGATTCAGTTTAGTTTTCCCGTCTAACTCTATTCTACCCTGTTATAGGCCCAAGCAGCTTCTTTATTCATTTACCAATAAAAGCAGCACATATACAGAAGGACCTCCCATATTGGGTCACCAAGCCTGTCCTCTCTCAACACTTTTCACTGCCTTTGTGGGTTTCTGGAGACTTTCTCATGGAAATAAGGTCCTTCCTCTTTTACAGATTCTCCTTAACCCAATCGCTTCGAGGTAACTTCTATTCCCCCACCTTCCTCACAAGTTTTAGTTGTTCTTGATTCTCTTAGTGAGGCGCACTACACAAGTGGTAATATTCCCATTTTAAGAATGTAGAAACAGTCACGTATTTGGTTTTTGTTTGTTTTTAGTGTTTTTATTGAGCTATGTATTTTTCTCTACCCTCTGCCTTCCCCCTCCATTCTTCCCTCTCCCATGATCTCCATGCTCCCAATTACTCAGAAGATGTTATCTTTTTCTACTTCCCATAGAGATTGATCCATGTATGTCTCTCTTAGGGTACTCTTTGTTGTCTAGGTTGTCTGGGGTTATGGACTGTAGGTCTTTTTTTCTTTGCTTTATGTTTAAAAGCCATTTATGGATGAGTACATATTATATTTATCTTTCTATGTCTGAGTTACCTCACTCAATATGGTGTTTTCTAGATCCATCCATTTGCCTGCAAATTTTAAGATGTCATTATTTTTCTGCTGTGTAGTACTCCATTGTGTAAATGTATCACATTTTCTTTATCCATTTTTGGGTCGAGAGGCATTTAGGCTGTTTCCAGGTTCTGGCTATTATAAATAATGCTTCTGTGAATATAGTCGAGCAAATGTCCTTGTGGTATGATTGAGCATCCTTTGGATATATACCCAAATGTGGTATTGTTGGGTCTTGAGCTAGGATGTTTCCTAATTTTCAGAGAAATCACAATACTGGTTTCCAATGTGATTGTACGAGTTTGCATTCCCACCAGCAATGGAGGAGTATTCCCTTTATCCCACATCCTCTCCAGCATAAGTTGTCATCAGTGTTTTTGATCTTGGCCATTCTTACAGGTGTAAGATGGAATCTGAGCTATTTTGATTTGCATTTCTCTGATGTCTAAGGATGTTGAGCATTTCCTTAAGTGCCTTTCAGCCATTTTAGATTCATCTGTTGAGAGTTCTCTGTTTAGGTCTGTACCTCATTTTTTTATTGGATTATCCGTTCTTTTGATGACCAGTTTCTTGAGTTCTTTGTATATTTTGGAGATGAGCCCTCTGTCCAATGTGGATAGGCTGCCATTTTGTCTTGTTGAACGTCTCCTTTGCTTTACAGAAGCTTCTTAGTTTCAGGAGGTCCCATTTGCTAATCATTGCTCTCAGTGTCTGTGCTACTGGGA